TTTAGTAGGAGCTTGGTGTGTCGATTGTTTATGACAATGTCGTTACATACGTAATAAGGTAAGTAATAATAAGTAAATTCAATACATTTATATACGAGGGGTAATTACAGAAAGTTTGTACACCAGATTACTGATTTAAATGATTATACCTATGATTTCCCATGACTTACTACAAAGATTACCTATGATTACACATGATTACCCCCAAGGTGTTTACCCCTCGATTATAATATACTAATATTGTATTACCAAGTTTAATTACTTCAATTCATACCTTATAACTGTACTAACCTTTACATTGGGTTACACGTATTAATTTTTTGCAATATTTCAAACAAATTTCAAAACAAGAAAACTACATTTACATAGGTATTATATGTTAAATTGAATTTAAATTCCTTCAAAGGTGTAAAACTATGCTTAAAATATTGTACTATTTGTCAACATTTTTATTATGTCGTTGGCATGCAAAAATGTATTATACATGATTTATATATATTATATTAATAAATACATAGGTATCATTTATATTCTACTTTTTAAAACTTTATTATAGGACAACTGTATGCAGCGTTTTCCCGAGTGAGGGACTCTCAATCCATAAAAACCATTAGAGTTGCTATGTACAGTGATGGCCGTGGTAGATTCGTCACTAAGAACATTGTGTACAGAGAAATTCTACAAGCGATATAACTGTACAATTAAGTCTACAAGAACTTAATGAACATCGAATCCGATCTGTGTGACACATGGTTTATAAGCAGTCGTAAGTACGACTCGCGGAGGAGAGAAAGTTCGACGACCTCCACGTGGTTCTCTCTGGATGCGGATTTTGTAATGAATACGTAACTGATGTCAAACATGCATTTAACCTGGCTGCGACTCGCACACTAGATGGTAAATTATTTAGAATTATTTATGTACTCTAAAAATATATCAGCAGATATTTGTATGCATTTGTATTATTTCAGAAACATTATACTAAAAATGACTATCAATGCAGATGTAACAGAAACACAACAAAAAGATTCATCATTGTATCAATACTGATTACTAATTTGGAACTAAACCATACTCTGTTAATCATAAGAGTTACTACAGCTAACACTTAACTATTATTCATTGTTAATTTGTAACTGATGTATATATACATTTAAATTATATTATACAATAATATTACCTGTATAGAAAATGCTTAAGTGTTAATATTGTTGGTTTTGCTCAAATATAGAATGAGACAATTAGTTAGATTATATAAACAAGACAAAAGTTTATTATTCATAAAATGTATTTATTTATGAATGTTACAGAAAATCAGTTAGAAAAAATATATAATAATAATATAAATAAATAAAATATGTTAGTTAGGTATATAAAAATTTTTTTTATTAAAAAGCTGAAACAAAAACACAATTTATTATTATTTTAATATATAATATTGTAAAACAAGTGTTAATAATAATAATAATATTCCTTCCAGTATCTGTGTTATTGCTCGGGCCCAGGCACGGCACTAGAATTTTTTTCCAGGGGGGGCAGAGTGGGGCAAATATTTTTTTTACATGGGCTAAAATTGTTTCAACAAATGCTGAGGTTATTTAAATGAAATATAAATATTTTCGTATCATATAACATAATATAGCTATTAGCTATATAATATTACATACTTTTATATTGTATGCTCTAAACGTCTAAACATATAATATTTACAAACTTTTGAATAGTTAAAAATATTTTAAGAATAATATCAAATATTTTTTTTTGTACCTTATGTAATATGTAAGAAAATGTTTAATCACAGACCTAAGACCTTCAACAACTATATTCATAATGATAACATGATATACAAAAATAATAATTTCTTTATGAGCTAAATATTGATTTTTTATACAATATCTGTTTATGCACCATACAGTAAATGGTTGAAAATCTTATAATATTGAAAAAGTTAACAAAAATGTATACAATTGCACTGATATCAGTAGGAATACAATTTGTTTTAAATAAAAACTTTTGATTACCTACCTTATATTTAACAAATACATTTTAAATTTTTAATTCAATACATTTTTAAATTGGTATTTGCATAGTAGTGTATGTATTGACTATTGAAGTACCTACTTTATATTTTTTGTTAAATTTTGGAGGTTAAAATAGTTCATATATATACATTAAAACATAGATACTTTAAGAAATCCTTTTTTATTAATTATCAAGTAATATGTGAACTAATTACCATGACAAATAAGATTATAAAAATAACAAAATAGGAAAATTGAATAAATTATTTAATTATTTTAAATAAGAAATTTGTCATGCTAATTACCTAACTAATATAAGTAGGTAGGTACGAATACCAACTCCTTACACAATAGTATTGTGTTAATCAAATAACATAAACATATTTAAAATAATAAGTCAACTAAAAATATTTTTAACTGTATACAACAAACATTAATTATATCGTACATATTTTTCAGTGGGGGGGCTGGCGAGGGGGCTGATCTGTTTTCTGGGGGGGCTAGAGCCCCAACTTGCCCCCCCTTGGCGCCGTGCCTGCTCGGGCCGTTTTCGTTTTTGTCTTCGTCAACGGGGCCACTTTTGACGACGGGGCTTTTGTCTTCGACGGGGGCCGTTTTTCCCTTTTCCCTTTGGGTTTGGTGCCTGTAGTTCAAATTCCAAATAATACAAAACTATAATATATAAAAATTCCACATACATGACAATTGGTAAATATAATTAAACATTGTGAACTCACGTGTAGACTTGGGAGTTGCGACAACCGAAACTCTGGAACAGTCCAAGTGTCGACTTTGAGCTTTCCCATAACGATATTCGTATTCCGTAGATGGCGAGTATAGGAAGCTGGTCATAACTGACACCGCGTTTCTGTATCGGTTAACATGTTCGCGGTATATGCGATAATAATCTTTGGAGGGCGCGCGGTGTAATAGTTGGTGGGGGGAGGGTGTACGAGGCGACGACCGAGCCGTTGAACGACATCCACGGCACGTAGCGTTTCAACATCCGTGCAAGACAGTTGATCGCTACTTTTTTTTTCATCTTTTGCACATTTCCCAGTCATTTAACAATTTGCTCTTTTATTTACTTCACTTCTTATTTCATTTTCATCTCTATCCAGTTTATTTTCAGATACATTTTTCCAGGACACTTCGGAGACCGGTGAGTCCAAGTTTTTATACGTATATTTCACAAGTACCCGACGTGTGTAAACAAACTATTTGGTTAGGCATTAGTTTTTGGTTCGATTACATTATGTAATCAACAAACTGTTTTACGTGCCAATGTTTACCGATTACTTAAACTCCACCATGTCTTTATACGCTGTTTATGGTAGTATATAATATACTCTATTACACTCATCGTTCAAAAGTCTAAATTCACGTATTTTTATCGTAGCGTCTGTATGACTCCGTAATCGGAAAAAAAATCCCCGACCCTAGGAAAAAAAATCACCAGCTACAATATTACTCACAATCACATGCAAATGGTTGATCAAATATATTTTGAACGTTAATTAGTAACTATAATTAATATTTAATGACAAATACGTATATTATATTATATTATATTGTTAAAAAAATTATAAAAAAATTAAAAATATTTAAAATGATCGATACGTCAATTAATATTACAGTTAAAAACATAGTATATAATATACATACAAAAATATTATACAAAATATAGGTACCTGTATATTTTATGTTGGTAGGTATAATTCTGTAAAAATTGAATCCAATTAATTTCAAAATTGAAATCAATAATTAATTATTGTTTGATAATTATTTTATTATGATTATAGTTATTATTATTATTATTATTATTGATATTACCATTTACCATCTATATTTTAAATTTTTTATAATAATTCTATATACCTACTATGTTTTTAACTGTATTCTTTGACGTATCGATCACTCGAAATATTTTTATACTTTATATATTTGTGTACACTACACCTCACACAACAATCATAAGTATTATTTGAAGTTTTGAAAACGTAATATTTTATTTCAGGGTTTTAATTTCTACAGAATTATACCAACATAAAATGTGTATTAATATAGTATAGTAATATAAAATGTTGTTAATTTTTCAAAAATTATTTATAGTCATTTATTTATATTATTTTATTACTTATATTTTGTATAATATTTTTGTATACTATGTGTTTAACTATATTATTTGACGTATCGATCATTCAAAATATTTTTATATACTACACCTATTTGTAACGTTGTTAAGTTAGTTATTTAATTTGAATTACACATAATATATTATCGTAATTTAAAACAAAATATTATTTATAATATATAATTTTTTTAACAATATAATATATTATAAGATAGTATACGTATTTGTAATTAAATATTAATTATAAATACTAATTAACGTTTAAAAAATATTTGTTCAACCATTTACATGAGTTTGTGAGTAATATTGTAGTCTGGAGATTTTTTTTCCTAGGGTCGGGGATTTTTTTTCAGGGATTCGTATGACTCATCGCGAATCCTCGCAAACAAGTGCATCTGTTCTATTACCTTTGCGGATATCGAACATTCTCGAACAACAACAGTGCGCAGTTATCGTGCACCTGTCTGTTACAAAATACGGATGACGAAAACATTGATTCTCTTAATGGCTTTAACATTTTACGTAAAACATTATAGCTACATAAACGTTAACGATAAGTTCACATTTAGCAATGATTTTTTAATGTATATATTCCCATTATTTTTCAAATATAATCCAATATTAACAACGTATTTCTTATAATAGCATTCAATAACAATCGCGGTATCACATCCATTGATAACATCGTTATTTCGATAACACCGTGAGACAATATTATTTTATTGTTTTCATATTCTATTTGCATATATTATTATATTTTACAAATTACTTTGTTATTATTTTTTTATATCAATATACCTATATCAATTTAATATTAAGACGACTATTCACAGGCCGTTCTCACAATGGTCAAACGCTGTGTGATATGTGGAATCGTTGATGCTATTGTTGGAGTTTCAGTACACAAGTAATTACAATTTCAATACTTGGGCATATTATTTAAATACATTTATTTTACTGATCTTTATCTTTAGCTTGCCAACGGACGTCGTACGTCAACGTTTGTGGGTTCAATTCATCGAGAACCAGGGGTTTCAAGTCAACCGAACATCTAAGCTATGTTCAAGGCATTTCATTCCTCACGTTGACTTCGCACCAGGAAACCTCTTACGCCGCCATCTGACCAAAACAGCAGTTCCGTCAATAGTGAGTTTATGATAAAATATAATATTATTTAGTTTTAATTGTAAAGTACGACAATAGTGTAGGTACTGCAATAATGACAATAGCGGTTTTATATTTTATATAAGTTGTTACTCTTAAGCCTTAGCACTGTTAACTTAACGTATACGTCATAAATTAGTGGTTTTTACGTAGATTATAACGTGAATACTACATTTCACATCATATTTCAATACTTATAGAACGAGTTTTAACCTACCTTCATAGAGTACGATGCTTGCTAATAGACTTTACCAAATACAAATATTATTATCAATTGCACACTACCTATTCATATCATAGGTACACAAGGTTTTTGTTGTATTTGTTTTGCTTATTATAGAGTTTAGGATTTTATTTTATTTGATATTTTAATAGATACACTTAAGACCTGTACCCTAAGCAATAGTTACATTACACAATACTCAATACACTGTTTTTTATAACTTATAATTTTTGTACATAACGTTCATGGTCGTAAAGCTTACTTTATTTTAAATATTTTATCACAGTTACACTTTACAAAACATATTTAAATACTTTCTCATATGCCTGATATTATTTATAGATGAATTGTTATGTTGAAATACATTCAATAGAATACAATATACTTCCTACAGTCTTATCTTATTGGAAATTTGTGTTTCGATCAAATAAAAATGTAACGTTAAAATAGGTGTGTTAACACCCCACGTCACTAATATTAAAACCACTGGATGACTCTATTTATTTGATAAATTGTATATATTAATTTATAACGTTGATACATTAACTGGAAACTATACCAAGTGTGTATTATTTTTTACCAGGCGAATACTTAATAAAACCTATATAAAACTATAACAACATTTTTAAAAATATAGAAATAACACTATTAAACTCTTCTGTAAAATATATTGACCCTACTCAACACTTGACTGTGCTCCTTATTGGTTCATTTAATACTTGCACATTAAACTAATTAAAATGATTGCATAGGTGGTCGGAGCACAACCAGTACCTGACCGTGAACTACCAGTTCACGCAGAAATTGACAATGCCGATGCAAGAGGCTGCGCAGAAATGGTCGAGGTACAGATGGAAGATATCGAAGAGGAAGTCATCCAGATGGACCAAGTCCTGATGAACGACGATAACGCAGAAATGGTCGAGGTGGAGTACGTCGCAGTACAGATGGAAGATATCGACGAAGAAATAGACCAGATGGACCAAGTCATGATGAACGACGATAACGTAGAATTTATCGAAGTTCGAATGGACGAAGTCCTAATGGACGTTGACGAGGTAGTACCAGGAGAGATGGTGGACAACAATGAGGGGATGCAACTTGAAATCGAAATGTTACACCAAGGCGTCGATGAAGAGGTCAGTGAATATTTCTTCATATTACTTATATCTATGTTTGTTAAAATTTTATAATTTCAATTGCAGTTCCAACCAATTCCCCCGGGTGTTCCGGTCCAACAGCCTAGAGGGCGTGCACCAATGATAGATCGTCCGGCTGGCATCCAACATCCGCTCCCAGAACAGCATTACATTGGGGCGTTGAATGCAGTCTGTAGAGATTGTGGTGCCCGTCACTTCCCCATCGAAAGCACCACACAGGGAGGTTTCTATACATGCTGTAATAGCGGTCTCGTGACCGTAACAGGAGAGCGGGTGTTGCAACCCGCACCTGTGTTACTAATGAATTTGTTGACTTCTGATTCAAGGGAAGCCAGGAGCTTTAGAGCTGAAATTCGAAGCTACAACAACAGTTTGGCATTCGCTGCGTTCTCCAGTGACTTTAACCCCAGACATTTGCCAGGTCGTGGACCTAGGGTATTCTATGCTCAAGGACAAGTGTATCACAGGACTAACATTGAAGTCGCCCCAAACGAAAACAGGCCACCGAGATATTGTGAGTTGTATTTCGTGAGTTCTGAGCAAGCAAACCGGGCTCGCTTGCAACAGAATCCACACCGCTTATTGGAGCAAGTGCTTGCAGACCTAGACCAACTATTTCGGGATAACAATCCATACGCCCAAGCATTTCAGTAAGTTATTAAAGTCATTAAATTATATGTAATGTACTCATGAACACCAAAATCTCGGCTTAGAGCTCATAATTTGTGCACATTACATCTATAGAATATTATATTATGTACATTAACATTTGGCAAACTATTTAATTTTCACTTATAAACTGATTAAATTTCATTATTTATATGCTATTAGGTATAATTAATCATTTGTGCATACTTTGTAGGTACACAACATATTATTAAACTGTTAACTAAAAATTATTTCATTTTGAATTAAAATTGGTCTAATGTAAAAATAGATAACAACATGTATTTCACACTCCAAGAATTTTCATAATATTACAACAATTTTAATTGTAAATTAACACCACACAAAAGTGGTGACTTCCATCTATCATTTGAGTGTAGGTTGATTATTTATAATATACATATTTAATGACAATAATATTGTTCTGTTTATAATATATTCTTACATTACATATATACATAAAAAAACTTTTTGTCGCCTGGCTTACAAACAGTATTCAAAAGCTAATCAATGTACAAAATATGTACGAATAATAAATTAATGATTTTTACAAACTGTTTTTAAACTCATTGGTTATTACAAAAAGGGTCACTATAGAACAAATTGATAAATTACTTAAGTTATTTATTTTCATAACATTCAAACAGTATATTGACCAGTTTAGAAATTTATAGTAACAATAAACACTACAATAATATTGTATAATGGTATAATTTCAATTATTTCTATCTATATTCTTAACATTATTCCACTGAGCTTGAGAATAATTATTAATTTTTAAACACTATATTATATTACACTTTACTATCGTTCATTTTATTCACATACATAGCACCCCAATAAGACTTAATATAAACTTTACAATGACCAGGCCTTACCATATTGATATACTATTACTCATTAATTTTTTATGTGTAGTTCTGTATACCTCCAGTTATTATATAAATATATGTGCAATAATTATTACACTGCAGTACTACACATCATACAAAACAAATTCAAAAAAACTAAATACAAACTATAATATAATTTAATTATATAACTAACACCTGAACATAATGATGACTGACATAAACTAAGTTTTATATGACTGTATTGTTCCTATATGTTATGTGCTTTACTGTAATTAAAAAATATATTTATAGGAACATGAGTCAGTTGTGCTCAGATGAAGAAGCCCGAGCTAGAAATGATCCTGCTGTGGCACCAAGAACAGTCAGTATACATTTCGTCGCCGACACAGCCAGAGACCAACGGCGTTACGGTCCACCCACAGCAGATGAAGTTGCAGCTGTGTTCGTCGGTGACGATGGCAGACCGCCGAGGGACATCAATCTGGTCATGTACAACAGGAATCCAATCAACGCTCATCACCGGATGCAGAACTTATCTGCAAGATCACGTCATGCTGATCCAATGCTCTATCCAGTGTTGTACCCATACGGTGAATGCGGTTGGCAAGACAACATGGTGCAGCGCGGCAACCGCGTCAACGCGGTCCGCACACGGAATACTATCCGCGAGTATGCTTGCTATAGATTGGCTATTCGTTACCAAGGAAATAACAACTTGCATAACAACCAGTTTAGTATATTACACAGAGGTGGATTTTTATTACAGATGTACGTGTGTGATCTATATGTTAGAATGGAATCAAACAATCTGAACTACATCATTCGGAATCAGGGTACGCTCCTTGCAGAAGCGTATCGAGGCCTTGTGGACCACGTCAACCAACAGCTCCACTTGGACGCGCCAGCTAACCCCTTGGCCGTCGGCCGTAGAGTCATTTTACCTTCGACGTTCGTCGGGAGTCCCCGGTACAATAAAGGCTGTTATCATGACGCTATTTCCATTGTGCGAAAATTCGGTAAGCCTGATCTCTTCGTTACTTTTACATGCAATCCTAGGTGGCCAGAGATCACAGAAAACCTAGGGACATACACTCTGGCGAACGACAGGCCTGACCTGGTAGCCAGAGTGTTCCACGTCAAACTTAAGGCTCTTATGCACGACATAACAGTCGGTAGGATTTTTGGTAATGTAAATGCTTATGTATACACTGTGGAATTCCAGAAACGCGGTCTACCGCACGCGCACATACTCATCATCCTCGGGGAGGGCAGCAAGTTGCTCGACGCACAGGACGTCGACAACATTGTGTGCGCCTCCTTGCCAGACCCGGAGACTGATCGACGTCTGTTTGACTGCGTGACGTCGCACATGATTCACGGACCGTGTGGTCAACTAAACCCCGACAGTCCATGTATGAATGACAACAACTGCTTAAAGAAGTTTCCGAAACAGTACTGTGATGAGACTGTGTACGTCTCTGACGGCGGCTACCCACAATACCGCCGTCCAAACAATGGTCTTAAGGCCCTTGTCGCACAACGTGAGGTCGGTAACGAGTTTGTCGTTCCATACAACCCATATCTACTGGCCAAATATGACGCTCACATCAATGTTGAGGTTTGCTCCACCATTAAGAGTGTAAAGTACATTTACAAATATGTCTACAAGGGACATGACGCAGCTACTTTGGCCTTACAGGACGGAAATGAAGTGTTAAGGTAAGCAGATTCAATAATTTATTGTTTTCATACACAGAATCTTAATACTATTGCAGCTTTCATTGTTATTCTATCATTGTATAAATTAATAATAATTACATCAACCATACACTATACTTGACCATATAGGTACATTTTTACAACCTTTCCATTTATACTTTGCTTAATGATTAAATGCTGTACAGAGATTAGATAAGATTTAAATTGTTCAGTTAATAATTAGCACTACACTTCCCCGTACACCTACATAAAGATATGCACTACTATTTTACTACTTCACTTACATACGCATAACTTCATATTATTTTTTGAAGTTTTACATAATATATAATGTGGTTAATATAAATGATGAATAAATAAAAGGACTGTGCTTCACATTTATTATAAAATTTATAATTTATTCATACTTAATTCTTTTTTTGACAACTTTTTACAAACTATTCATTATCATATATTATATTATACAACTATTTAAATTGTACACCGATAACACAACAGTGCGACTTAAATCTATAATTTTATGGAGGGGGTGCTGTGTTCGGATATATATATGTGTAATTCATTACAGATTTAACGATTAATGTACAACAGTTGTATTCATACATTTATACTGCATACCTACATAACTACATTAATTAATTTATTTTACATAATATCATGTATGTTTAAATTTGGCAAAACATATCATTTTTACTTATAAAAAGATTCCATTCGATTCATTTTAATGTGCATAGGTATAATTAATAATTTGATCACAATTGTTCTTCACTTATCAACTGTTGCTTAATAATTATTTAAAAACATTTTATGATTTGCAAGTAGGTACTTAAGCCATAACTTGACGCATCTTTACTATTTAAACGTGCATTGGAAGGTATAATTAATAACTTTTACAGATTTAATTTAAACTTATAACAAACGGATACCTAACAGTTGTTTATTTAAATTTATATTAAAGAAATAAAAACAACAACCTCTTTACAATACCAATGTATTTCAATAGCATTCCAACAGACCCTATTGTGATCACAAATATACAATTTTGTAGTAACCATACCTTCACTTGACACAATGTACAATCTTAATTATTTAAATGTATACATCAATAAACTTCCATCATTTCAATTTAAATTATTTTTTTTTATACAATTAGTACCAATCAATGAAAAACTATTAATATATATTTGTGATGTGTGATGACCTCATTGTATAAACATACAATTTATAACATTACTGTTTTTATTATATTATATATTGAATTAATTTTGATTTCAGTTACACTAACTCACGGTACGTGGGCCCACCTGAAGCCATTTGGAGGTTGTTTTCGTATGAGATACACAACAAAAGCCACACGATCATAAGACTTCCAGTCCACCTGGAAGACAATCAGACCGTGTACTTTCCTCCCGGACATGCTGAAGAACGGTTAGACGATGATAACCAACGTCGTACTAAACTAACAGAGTTCTTCACACTCAACACAAACAGCGAGGTGGCAAGACAGTACCTCTACCATGAGATACCACTACATTACACTTGGCACCAACCTAGCAGGACATGGTCGCCACGTAAAAATCGGATGGCCAACAAGACGTTGGCTCGGATGTACGTCGTCAACCCAAAGGATCAGCACCGTTTTCACCTGCGACTGTTACTTCTGAACCGGAGAGGCCCACGGTCTTTCCGGGACATAAGAACAGTCGACGGGATCGTGCACGAGACATATGGGGCTGCTGCAATTGCATTGGGACTCGTAGAAAACGACGAAGCATGGCATGCGTGCATGCAAGA